CCTGGAAAAGGCTTATTTTTTGCAAAGGCTGATGATCGAAGAGTGAAAGCATTCACTGATGCAGATTGGGCTGGATCAATCGATGATCGAAAATCAACATCTGGATATTGTACCTTATTGTGGGGGAATCTGGTGACTTGGTGCAGCAAAAAATAGTCAGTTGTTGCTAGAAGCAGTGCAGAAGCTGAGTATAGAGCTATGGCTCATGGAGTTTGTGAACTTGTTTGGATAAGAAGAGTGATGAAAGAGTTGAAGATTGACTTTGAAGAACCTATGTGGCTCTACTGTGATAATCAGTCAACTATCAATATAGCTCATAATCCTGTTCATCATGATAGGACTAAACATGTGGAAGTAGATCGACATTTTATTAAAGAAAAACTTGATGGAGACGTTATCAGAATTGAATACGTGCCTACATCTCATCAACTAGCTGATCTACTCACAAAAGGTCTATCCGAACAAACTCTTGAAGTACTTGTAGGCAAGCTTGGCCTCATCAACATCTACAGCCAAGCTTGAGGGGGAGTGTGGACGAAATTCAAATCTTATTGGATTTAGTCAAACTTTGGATAACATCAATCTTATTTTCTATTAGGATTTGTTTGTTTTTTAAACTTAGGATTAGAATATCAATTCCTTATCAGTTCCTTATTTTTTGGGATTATTATTCCTATTGTATTCTATTTAAAGAGAAACGTATTCATTAATAAATTAATTCAGAACTTATTAGTTCACTCGGGTTTTTATACAATCTAATAAGCATTTTATCATCATGCAAAAAGACCGGTCCGTCCTATAAATATAATAAAAATCAGATGAGTAACATGGGGTCTCTTGTTCTCGCACTACATAAGAGAATCAAACAAAATAGAAAATTCTCATCAAATTTAGTAACCATACCTCTTCAAGCATGGAACCACATTCAGAAGTCAAAGCCGTATGATTTCTTGAAACACGACCATATGCTCCTAGTGCCACACTGGCTCCATATGCACTATCCCTCATAGCAAGTATTGTGCTTTGTAAATCACCTGTTAAAAAGGAAAGAAAAAAAAAAGTGACAGGCACGTTTTGATGCATTAGCACTCATTGAAAAGAATAAATAAATAAAACAAAAGAAGTATTAGCACTTGGCGTCTCTGTGTTTGTTTTGTCTTTTGGTGCTGAAGGTGTGTGTGCGCATCACAGAATAAAGCCATAGGTGTGAAAATAAGCAATAGGCATATCCTTGCCTGCGCAATACACATGCATATGCATGTATTAAGTGGATATGATACATGTATAACAAAGAAAAGATATGCATGTATTAAGTGGATGTGATACATGTTTAACAAAGAAAAGACATGACCTGAAGCTGACTTTGCTTTGAGAGAGGCGACGCAAAGTTCATTGGTTGCAGAATACAAGCCACTGGAAGCAGCTTCCACGGTGCTTTGTGCATGCTTCCATTCTTGTTCAGCACCTAACATACAAGTAGGAGAAAAGCATACAACGTCAATGATATATGAGCAATATCAATTTAAAAATCTCATTGTCATTGGCCTACATAATCTTACGTGCAAAAGAATGGTAAGTAATATCCAATCTTGTTAGTGCGTTCAAGTAAGCTTGCTGCCACGTCCTGCCATCACTACCAGTCCTAAAAGGATAAATCTCTCCAGGAAATCGAAAAATGCCATCCCTTGAAGCTTCAAACTCCAATATTGACATGAAAATTTTGATAATATCTGATGCCTTTTCTCTAGCTTCCCAAAGCAGTTTCCTCCGCCTCATTAGATGATTATGGAATTCAGGAGGAATTCCAGAGGTTTTGCTGGAAGCGTTGCCTGTTGCACTGGAGTTTGGCCCGCCACATGCCCACCCCATTGCTCTCTCAAGCTGCCCTTCAGCAGTAAGAGAAGTTCGTTCACAAGCTTGCAGACAATCCATACACCTGGCTATCTTCGACATAGCAGATTGTATTGTTTCCAGCAATTTAGGCCTGCTAAAGTTTATAACAATAGGATATAAACTATCATCACCGGCAAGAAACTTTTGAAATATAATTCTGCTGTTATGTGAAGGAGTCAAATTAACATCGTGCATCCACTCCATCTGAACAATCTCTAGGCCAGCCTTGTGAAGAGCCTCCCTGAGCTCTTTCACTTGCCTTTTCATAAGAGAAGCAGCTGACCTTGCCGCTCTTGCAGTTTCATGAGTATTACAGTATTCCTCGAGCATATGTTGCACCCTTGTTACAAGCCCCATATCCTTTTTCACTTGATCAAGAGCATGTTCTTTTGTTGCCTCTGTCAGTTGCTTCAAACGTTCATTCTCTTTGTCTAAGCAGGACAATAAAGTCGGAGCAACTCGTTCTTTCAAGTATTTACCAATGTGTTCTTGAAGTTGCATCTTCAGCTTTCTCTTTAACAGAGAGAAGAGCTGGTCAAACCCAAAATTTTTATCCACGGATGAAGAGACATCATGTATGCACGAGTCAAGAAAAGAATCAACAACGCCTAGTTTCCAAACAAAGAAAGACTGGCTATATAATAATTTATCAAACTTCCAAATATATTCAGATATTGGGTGTCCAGAATTCAAAAAATCTGCAATTTCGGAAATCCCATTTGACTGAGAAGAAAAGGAACTTCCGATTGAAGAGAAAGCTCTATCAATTGATTCCATTTCAGAAAAGGGCTTAATTAGGGTAGTTAATATTGCCTTGGTTCCCAGAACATGGATCGCCCTTTCCTCTTCAGAACCAACTAGAGATTGAAACTGACGTTCAGATAAAATTATGGCATTCTTTATATCAGCTTCTCTTTTAATGAGAGAAGAAGTGCGCACATCCCTCTGGTTCCATGTTTGATGAAGTTGATTCAGCTGTGCTCTACACACTTCTTCTTGGGAGGCAAGCTCCTCTGCCTCTTCCCAGGACAGATGATCCCTGCCTTTGACAGCTGCTTCTTCGAGAGCCAATTGCTGCTCAGTAATAAGGCCAACCTTAATAAAGTAGTTCTGCTCCAGTTCAACCAAGGACGCCCTCTCCATTTTAATCTCCAGAAACTGCTCTAGTGCTGAATCAATAGAACCCCAAATTTGTGAAATTGATCCAAATGCATCCATGACCTCGGAATCCAAAGACACTACTGATTTCATCATGTCCGGAAGAACCACTTCAGTCATTTGGTCAATTAAGTTCTTACAGGACTGTAAACTTGCTTTAAAAATTGAAGCCCAATTATTCTCATGATACAATTCTGGATCATCTTTATCAGGATCTACACTAGGTGTACCAATCAATTGGCGCAGCTCGCTAACAAACCCTGCTACAAGCATACATTTCTCTACTTGCTCTTCAAACTCACAGAAAACAGAATCAAAATCATACTGCAATCTATTCTTTGCACTACCTCCTCCAGTGGAATTACTAAAAATTTCAAGCAACCTGTGCTTGACCTCATTATACAGGGAACTGACCGCAATATTCAGAACACATAATACCCTCTCCCTCTTCTCCTCCAGCTCCTCTCGTAATCTATTATCTTTTGTTCCATCGTGTTTTGGTTGTCCTGATTGAATAGGAGAATTAGCATCTTCTTTCCTTCCAAGACCAGCAGACTGCATGTATTTCATAAAAGCAGACAGGAGACGGTCCTTAGCTTTTGACTCAGTCTCAAAGCCAATAGAATTCTCCAGCTCAACACGCTCTTCTTCAAGTCTCTCTATCTTCAATGCATAATTCTCTACTTGAAGACACAGATCATTGTGACTGTGTTTGACAGGACCCAGATTAATCCCATGACTCTTAGCAATAAGTTCAGCAGCCTGTCTTCTTGTAAGGGAAAGGATATCAGAAGACAGGGCACCGATAGAGAGCTGCAAAACTTGTGCCCAGCCATGCACTGCACTGGTTGTAAGGTAGTTCAGTGGTAGAATTCTTTGCAAAGCCAAAGAATATAACTGAAGCGCTGTAAGGGCAGATGAGAGTCCAACATCTAGTTCAGATACTAGGTCAGAAACTTCCCTGTCTATATCACGGCATTGTACTTGCGTAGGCTCAGGAACAATAGTCAATGGAACCCCTGCCACCTGGACAGCAGACAAAAGAGATAAAGCTTCTTGCATGCTGCTCAATTCCATGTGGGCATTTATTTCTGGGATTAAATTGCTACGTAACGCATCAAGGATTCTTCCATGTTGCTCAATCCAAGTAGCTGCTTCTTGAGATTTCTCGGCAACCAAAGCCTTTGCTTGAGAAAACTCCCGGGACTGAATTTCATATGATGCACGAGTTTTCTCAGAATTACTAGTTGCTTCAGCAACAAGTGACTTTGCAGATGTCTCGTGCAGTACAAGGTTAGATCTCTCTTGGTCAGCTTGATAAAAGACAGCAGAGGCAAGCTCATATTGATTTAGAACATCAGCAAATCTCTGGTACATAAATTTAGTCAGTCAAAAAATAAGAGAGTGAACCAGTACCTACAAAAGAAAGGAGGAAACAGAGAGGTATGCATCATTCATATATACCTCGAGGGCAGATTCAACAGCTGGTATGGTAGCCAATAAAATATCATGGTGTTCCTGGTCATTATTCAAAACAATATTAGAATATTTTCAGGATTTAAAAATAACGGATGAGAAGTTGAGAATTAAATTAGTATTTGTGTCATGAACAAACAACTTCGTATCCTACATTTTTATAAATAGGAGAACATGCAAGGTTTGATTTACAATAGATTCACACCTGTAAGGGGACACGGATTTCCTGCACTCGAGATGCAAATAAACTTAAGCTAACAGCCAACTCCATGCCCTTCCTTTCTTCACCACCAATTGCAGCATCATCGTGGAAATCTCCCCGAGTCCATTCCACGAGTGGATCCCAGACAAAAACTTCAAGTAACATCAAGAGTATGTCTTTGTTCTTCCTCAAAACACTAATCACTGCTTCACAATTTGCCCTGAAGCTGCCTTCTATTCCAGTTAGCCCTAGTGCAGCTTCAATGGTCTGGGTTAGACGGAAGGGAACAATCTCTGGGACTTTGAGTCTTTGCCCTTTGTCAAAACAAACATTATAATCAATATGTACAATTTCACCACTGAAGAAATCGACAAGTATGTTATCCAAATGCCTATCCCCCAGGCCAAGAATGTGGCCCACCATGCTCATAGCAGCAACACTTCCAGAATACCTATAACAGAAGACTTGTTACTTTCAATGTTCAACAACGGTCATCATATAAAAAGCTGTCTTTTTTCTTGCATAACTAGTCTACTGTAACAACAAGATTCTTGGTAGTACAATTATTTAAATTTTTTTAAAAAAAAAGCATCATGACACTTGCAGCGGTAAATAGTCCAGGTTCCTAATCTTCCCTTTTTGTAGAGTGCCAGTGGCAGTGTTTGATATATTGAAACCAGATATTAGGTTGAAAAGACTACCTTGGTAATCCATGGGAAATCTATTAAGCGGCATTCAAGAAATTGTGCATTTTAAACCAACAATGTTTCTCCATAACTACTATACAATTACAATTTTTTTATTAAAAAAAAATCCAAAATGTTCACTCATATTTTTCTGACATAAAAAGAGACGAGAGATTAGCTGATAATCACATTATTCATAGTCACCAAACATCTATAGATGTAAGCAGAGTGGTAGCCACCATTATGTTCCTGTATTTAAATATACCTTTCAGTGCAATTCCAAGTATCTTAAAATATGAGTTGCTACTTCTGTTCAACATCGCTGGTCAGTTTATCACTCAAACGTGAAATAAATAGAATAATGTGTTTGATAAGTTACTTCAGGTTCTCAAAAATACCTTTTTAGTTTTGAGGTGAAGGCTCTGAAACCTTCACTGGCACACCATAGTTCTTGATGAAGAAGCTGTCTCGGGGTCTCCTTCATTAGATCAAGGAGGACTTTACGCTTCACTTCATGAGGCCAGTCTCTTCGTGAGATCACTCTCCTTATGCCTTTATCTTTGAGCGCAGGTATAATTTTACCATAGAACATATCACTTGGTCGGGGAACTGGTGGAGGAACAGAAGTTTTTGAATTGCCACCGCCAATTGCTGAGAGCTGAGCCAGTTGAACGCGGCTTTGCCAGGACTTAAAGACACTGTATATACTTAACACATTATCAACCCACTGAATTAGACCAGCTCGGCCACTGATAGGAGTCACAGAATAATAGCGAACCCCCACAGAATGACGATGAGTTTCAGGAGATGCACGCAAAAAACCATTTATAGCTTGCAACAACTGCATGATTCTGGCATCAAGGCGCAGATCTTCCCTTCCTTTCAAAAGATACGTGTACTTTTGACCATCAGAACCAAGTATAACAAGTTTCTTCGGTTTAGTTTTGGTTGACAAGATTTCCACTTGTTCCGAGAAAGAAGTAATTGTAACAATCCCCTTGTGACCAGCACCGCTTATGTCAGGTTCAGATATTGTGGCGTGCCTTTCAAGACCAGGCATTGGAACATCGGAAGATGATAAGGAAGCAAGTTGCGGTGCAACTTCTCTTAAAGAAACTGATGACTTCCTCTGATAAGATGCTAAGGATGCAGCAATGTTATCAAATGGTCGCCACACATCACCAAGTGCTGCGGCAGATGGAGGAGGCGTCTTGAAAGTTAAGATGGCGGATTTCAATTGTTCCCTATACTCCTTGTGGAACCACACTTCATGAGGTGTTTCAGGATTTCGAGATGTAGAAGCAAAGCGACGCTCCAAGGCCACAACAATGGGAGCCATCATAGCAGAGTATTTAGCAGCATTTATCTTGTTCTTCTCACTCTGGCTGAGAGTGACATTTTCTGCAATTCGTGCAGCTTCCTCTTTCAAGAGATTTATACGCCTCATCACATCTGAAATGAATCAAATAAGACAACTGCGTATGATGTGTGCTAAAAGAAAATCACCTAAAAAATAATAACAAGCATGAGCAACACCAACAATGATGATGCTCGTAACAGTCTTGCTTTTATTATGTAAAAATACACGTGCAAGAAGTTGGCATTGTGAAAGACAAAATCACAATCAAGGGAGATTACGCTACCTGAGTGAAGATCTTGAAGTGTACTAAGCCACAGCTCCTCCCAAAGAACAGTGACATTTCCAAGCTCATTTATCATAAGCTGAACGTCCTGAACCAATCTTGGATGAAGTTCATTCTGCAAGAAACAAGACTGCTTCAACAATCTTGATTCCATTTCAACCAGGCAATTTATGACTTGAGATAATAAATTCTTATTAATTTAATATTTCAACGATGGAGATTCGTTCAAGTATTAGAGCCTACAACAAACTAAAATATCTAACAAGTAACAACCACTTGTTCCATGTCCAACGCCAATAACAGTGGAAATTTATATTGCCTTCCTAGTAGAAAAGGGCATTATCTATTGTCAAAAGCCTGAACCGGAGTGGTTCATTAGGTTTTCTTTTTCTTTTTCTTTTTTAAATGAAAAAACGCCTAAATTATGAGACACAGATGGGTCTTGTAAATCAATAACAGACATAAGAGCGAAGTAAATAATGAAAGAAATTGCTATTACCAAACAACTTAGTATGTGTTGTAGTTCCTCTGGAGGCTTTTCTTCATTTGCATTCACATCAACGAGTGTTGGGTAAACAATGGATGATGGAGATTGCTTGGCCAACATCATCAATAAGCCCTCCAACTGATTCCGAATCACTTGTTCAGGATGAGAAGTTAGCCGAGCAAACAATTGTGGTGTAACATCCTACAAAGATAATTCTTGATCAGAGTTGTATTTTCTATCCTCAGAAAAAGGTTAGCGAGAGGGATCCTAAACTATGGAGCACTATCTCACCTGCCATGGTGACAGAGGAACAGTTGAGAGAGCTGGTTCCAGTGTATCTTTTAACTCCACCCCATAATTGAGAAGAATATGCAGGATATATAAAGTAGCCCTCATGGTATAGCTGCCGGTCTTTTGTTTCAAAGGCTCACAATTGAATCCAGCTAATTGACCGTCACAAATATTGGCAGATGAATACAAAAGGTATTGTATAAACCCATGAGCTGCATGCCCAAAGAGTGAGACTCTTCTCTTCCTCAAAGACCACCAAATTTCAACTAAATCATCAACTACAGATAATATCTCAGATTCATTTAAGCCAAAATTTGTATGCAGGAAGCAAACCTTTAACTTAAAAGCTAGAGTAGCTGACAAGCTTTCATCACTTAAGTTTTCTGCACCAGGTGCTCCTGCCGAAGCTTCAATGACATTTACTACTTGCTGCACCAAAGCCTTCACAAGGTTGTCATTCCTTAAATGTACAGCAGAATTAAGAGAGAAATTCAACTCTCCTTGTTCGTCTTTAGAACCCTCTGCATCACATGCAAACTTGTGCTGCAACAGCTGCACAATCATAGATTCTATTCTTATGCTCTCGTCTTCAGCTAAACTAAATCTTCCAGGTAGAACCTCTGGGGTGAGGATAGGAGAAAACGAGCATGTGTGGAGGACATTTCCTTGAGGGTTGAGAAGAGAGTCTCTTGCTTGACTAAGACACCAGGAAGCATAACAAATCCATGACTTACCCATAGTTGGGCAAAGGAGAGTAGACAATTTTGTAGTTGTGCCCACGATTTCCTCAATTATAGGACCTACAGTCAGGCCACGGTTTACATTTTCATTGTCGAAGGCAGGTCTATCGCTGTCAAAAGAAGCCTCGAAATCTGAAAGCATCACCGGCACAATTTTATCAAGCCACGGCTCTGAATAACTGCGCCTCAACCAGCGTGAGAGTTTCAAGCATGCCTTGGCTTTTAAAAAGCTATCATCGGCGTCAGAAACTAGAGATGCCGGAGAGACCACATAAGGGCGGACAAGAGACCAAAGGCTCGTGAGAGCATCTTCAAATTTATTTTCAGCATACAGTAGCATTGAGTCCTCAAACTGAAAATATGAAATGAGGAAATCACGATATTTTACCTCAGAGCAACTCGGTATGTGATCCTTGAGATATTTCTCCAGACGAGTAGCCAACATTATGTTGTTCTTTTTACAGGCTAGACTCAATAAATCAGTACAGAGTTTAAGAGTAACTGGAGAAGTCGGTAAAATCGTTTGATAAACCCGAAGAACTTTTAACCATTGATTACAATCTTGATAAATTCTATTTGATGGGGATAATGTGGACTCGACATGTGAACATAATATCGGTGGTAGTTGTTTGAATTTATCTTGGCTGCCTCTAAGCTTATAACCATCCTCAAACGCAACGATGCAATGTAACTGGATGGCATATGCAGCAGCCTCCCTTAACCCGTCAAGAGGCAGAACAGCGAATGTTTCTTCTAACATTGATCTGGCCTTATGCAATTCATGAGAAGTTTTTTCTTCCTTTCCCTCATTTTGCAAAAGCATTGCCTGTAAAAGCATCTGCTCACTTCTTTGCAGGGCTAGCTTGGGATCAAGTGTGAGCTCACTGCTACATTTAGGTGTCAAATCAAGGCATGCCCATGTGGCCTGAAATTCACCCTCGTCATAACGTGCCAGTGCATGAATTGCATTAATTTCATTGCCCGTTGTGGTCAGAGCACCAGAGTAACTCTTCCCAGCATGCTTCGCACGAAGTGCTTGCAAGTCTAATAGCCAGGATTCTAGAGACTTCCAGTCACATACAGCAGCATAACTCTCAATCGCACGTGCAATAACAAACTGCACACCATCAGAACCCATAGAACTGAGTGACTCCTCACTTTGCAGCAAGAGAGAAAAGTGAGCTGCAGCTTTTTCATACTGACCTTCAGCCTGATGTACAAGTCCAGTAAACCATGAAAAGGGCCCCAGAATTGTACCGTCGCCATAAGACTGGTTTTCCTCCCCAAACAAGGAAGAGAATGTCATGGAAACCCATCTTTGTAGGCCAATCAAAGCCTCCGATTCATGACTCTTACAGAGAGCCAATGCCATGTGATGCAAAACCCTCATGATGTCTGCAGAAAATCTATTCCTGATACCTTGGACGTGATTGGCTACTTGGGCCCTAGATTTATCCTTCAAAGCTAAGGTCACAAGATTCTTAAGCTCCTGCAAACGCAGAGTACAATATTGAACTGTAGCGTCATTGCACTGTAGAGCCAATCCAGCATTCATCATTGGTTCACAAATTCGAGAAAACCACTCCTCGCAGACTTTCTTGTTAGCTCTGAAGAACAAGGAACTTGAACGAGTAGACAAGGGTAAAAGAACAGAACCCTCATAAGCATTATATACATTTTTCTTTAATGCCTGAACAAAATCCAACAATAACCTCATGGGTAACAAGTGAGCACCAGAAGCCCCTATCATACTTAAGTTCCCATCATTTTGCTCATTATCAAGCTGCAAAAGGTGCGCAATGTCCAAAAGCATCCGTTCTAATGCTGCAAAAGTCTGGGTCGGACCGCCAAGGTTAGTTCGAAGACGCATGGAAATACAATACCTAGCCGCTTCATGTATAGCCCACCAAGCACCAGCTAGATTATTAACTGAGCAATTCTTTTCAAGAATATCCTCATCCACTTTGACATCCAACGATACAACATTAGCACCAAAATTTCCTGCTTCTTCAAGTTGATTTGAAACAGAGTCTTTTGATCTCCGACAACTATGAATCAGACGCTGGATCCAAGAGGAAAGAGGTACCTTCCATCTTTGTGAAATGTAACTTAATATGGACACAAGTTGTTGCGCATGAAGTTGATGATGCAGCTGCTTCAAGGGAAATACTTGCTTCCAGTGCAAATTGGAGCCATTGCCCAATTTAAGAACATCAGACCTAGACAAAGTAGATTTGCCATAGTCATGCAGCCCACACGCATACATTGTAGTTGGCAAAACATCAGCAAGTAGCCTCTTAAATGCATTTTTTATCTCATTATCTGGATCACCAAGTTTTTCTAGGACTACTTCAGTTATAGGATAAAAGTACACAGGATGCACAAGCCTTGCCTGCAGCAGCAACTTCAAAACCAATGCAACATGTGACCTCACAATTGGTTCCCTGTCAGATGCAGAATACAGAACTGAGAAAACCACATTACTAATAGTCCCTGCATGTCCAAATGCTTCGTCAAAATAATTCTTCAGGTTTGAGTTCCTGTAAGTAGCAATAACATTCTCACAGAATCTCTGGATCCATCCTAGAATTACTACTTTAACTGCAACAGGAGAAGAAACGTGGAGGGCTTTCACAAAGAGAATATCATATTTCCTCAGGTGTTCTATAATGACACCCAAATGTTCATTTCTGAAGCATTTATCAGTAAGGTTCTTTTCAGCACTGACTTCCACAGAAGATTGCCCCCTATTCTGACTTCTTGCAGAGGACTTGCTCAAGAATTCAACTTCAGATAACCTGTCCAATGTCTTGATAACACTGACTTGCAACTCTGCATGGGACTGAACAACTAGGTCAAAAGGATTCAATTTCTCCATAAGAAAAGAGATCAAGTTTTCTGACCTCCTAAGATATAAGGATGCAATGTCTAGTTGGCCAACCAAATTTTTATCTCCACCTAATAGAACGCACGTCAACAAAATTTTCAAATCAAACTTGACTAGAGCAAACAATTCAAGTTTTGAATAGCTCTTATAATTTACAATACTGCAGAACCCATCTACATAACCAAGACTTTTTGCTATCATGCCCTTCAGCGATTCCAGCTCCTCAATCAATGAAGTAATTGCTTGTTGAACAACATCATTATTTCCATGTTGAAGTAAAAAAATATATGTGGCACCAGAACTCCCTGTAACCAAGTGATTTGGATGTAAACGCAGCTGAGATATCGGTGCATCAAATTGCAGTATTTTCTGCACAGCTGATGGAAGGAGACCAAACTTTTGCAAAGATAGTAACTGGAGGTTCGTTTTCAGAATCCCGTGAACTTCAAATGAGGTAATCTTCCCGGCTCCCACTGATGGGGTAGTAGAGTTCATTTCCAAGCTTTGAAATAAGATATCAACTGCGAGTGTGTAAAAAGTGGAAAATCTCTCGCATAATATTTCGGCCAAAAGTGTCAAACATTTCCATAAATCCACAATCCATTCTGACCATCCAAACTTCTGTCCAACGATAGATAGGCACCCCAACAACCGAGGAACCATTCTGGTAAGTGGATCACTGATCTGTTCCAATAAATTTATTTCCAGTAACCCAGAAGCAGTAGACTGCAAAACCGATGAAAAGCAGGAAAGGAGAGCCAGCAACCTCCGAAATTGTTGAGGAGTTCCAGGACCTCCATCATTAAGCAAAGCATCCATGTCTCCCAGGAACTTTGAGAGCAACCCGAGAGAGAATTGCAAGTTACCCACCCAATGTTTCTGAAATTGCAAGAAACTGTCCATAATTATCCGTCTATCGGGTTCAGCAAGGTCCGGTACCAATGCCCATCCTAAAAGCAGATCCACAATGTCGAGAAAGTGAGGCTGGAAGGTCCTAGAAAATTTCAATGAAATCAGACACAAAACACCCAAAATTTGGTGCAACAAACTCAAGGAGGTTCTCTCATCCTCAAGAAGTACTTGGCATGCTTTGAGAATTGGCAGAGCAAATCTCTCAATCGCGCTAACATCTCCAACATTAAGAAACTCCTGCAGGCTGTCCAATGCCAATTCAGTGGCCCCATCACCAGCAATGACATTGCTCAGCAGTGGCAATGCCCAACCGATGAACCGATCAACCAAACTCCCAAGTAAAACATGGTTTTGTCTGCCATTTGATGTTATAGGAAACGAACAAAGCACGGCACAAAGAGCGCCATATGTCACAGCAGCTTCTTGTCTCACTGAGTAAGACCTGAAAAGTGAAATGCAATTTCCACAAAAATTTATATGAAGCCAAAAACTTCCACTAAGCTAAAGTGATAAACATATTAAGAAAACACTGCTTTAGAATTCAAGACCTACTGATATTCAGAAAAAGGAAAGGAAAGAACTGTTTGAACCCGACTTAGTTGTGTATATTTCGTAATGAAATCTTGTATTTTGAAATTCCGCCAAAATTTTAGCAGATTGGTAAGCTAGAAAAAAGGGGGAAATTACTACGATGCTGAAAAATGATAAGAAGAGCATTCTGGAAATCCAGCTTGGTGTCATATTCTTCAAATTCAAACTTCACCATTTTTGCACCGACAAGAACGGTCCCAAACTATAGAGCAAAAAACTTGAAAACACCGAATTTCACCAAAAATTTCAGTAAATTATGAATTTAATTCCAACATCCAAACAAAAAACAACGACGACAATCAAACAGAAACCTAATTGGAACAAGCAGCGAAAAGGATTACTTGTCGGAGAGGAGCTGAGAGAAGCCCTGAGCGAGGAAAGTGGCGGAGTGGGTGACGAGGAGGGAGTTGTGAGGGAAGAGAAGGGCGCGGTGGAGGGAGTTAAGGGCGGCGATCCGAGCGGAGTCATCGCCGGCGTCAGAGCTAGAGCCAGTTACCGCCGCCGCCGCCGGAGAAGATGATGACGCGGCGGAGGATGGGGAATCGTCCTTGGGAAGGGCGGCGGAGAGGAGAGCGGCTAGCTGCTGCTGCTGATGATGAAGTCCCTGCATGGTTTCTCTGCCTCGCCAGTTCTAGCTCTGGCTATGGCGTTTCGCATCTCCCTCTTACTCTGTAATATCTTCTACTTTTTCGTATTCTTTTAGCTCTGAGCTCACGATGAATGAGCTTTTTCCTTCTTCTTCTTCTTCTTCTTGACGGTCTCTTCTCTTCGTTCCCTCCAATTTCTGTTCTTTTTTGCTTTTCTAAAAAGTGTAAAAGGCCACCCGTTTGGACTGGCGGAAACTTTGGACTGGCGGGTCTCTCTGAAACCCGAATTTTTTAGGCTCGATGGGAATGCCCATTAGGCCACCCGTTTAAGTAAGTTTTCAGACTCGGGCTGCCCGAGAAAAGTCACAATCGCCGAAGCCCGCCGCCGATGAAAGCCCCCAACCGTCGACCGTTGATTTTTTTTTTTTTTTTCTTCCCTCCGGTCTGAATTCTGGCCCGAATTGCCCGAAGCCCGATCAACGGCTAGTTTTTTGACAGTTGGCGCCCGACCCGAATCGATGTCTGAAAGCCCGACCACCAACGGCTCTTTTTTTTACTGTTGCCTGATTTCAGCCCGAACCCGACCCGATGATGACAAAATATAGCTGTTGGATCCGAATTTGGAGGAAAAAAAATAATTTTTTAACCCAAAAATTTCCCTTTTCCCTAAACATTTTCCTCACCCATACTCTCTCAATCTCTCTCAATTTCTCTCAATCTCTCTCAATTTCTCTCAATCTCTCACAATCTCTCAAATCTCTCACACAATTTTTCTAAAAACTTGTGATTTTAATCTTAATTATAGTTCTTATATAATTTTTACAATAAATAGCTTAATAATTATTTATATACAAATATAATTAATAAATAATATTATATATATTATAAAATATACAAAAAATTCAAGCAACCAATGCGGGCTCAGGCTGCCCGATCGGGCTTCGGTCAACTAAGACCTGCCCGAAGCCCGTTGAAGGTGGTGGTCGGGGTTGGGCGGGCAGCCCGAATTTCTCAGGCGAGCGGGCTCAGATAACGGGCACAAGTTCAATTTTTTCAAGCGGTCGCAGGCGGTCCGTCTAAAGTTCCAGCACTAAAAGAGGGTGAAATAAAATTCCCTATATTAGGAATACTATTTACCATGAAAACTGCCGAATTAGATTCTCATAAAAAATCATATTTAAACTTTTTTTTCTAAGTTAAAAACTCTTATGTAAAATTATATATCATTTTAAATTAAAAACTCGAATTAACGAACTGAACAAGACATGGCAAGAAAATGTTGAATTGCTCCAATCAATTGTTTTTTTCTTTTTTTTTTTTAGAATCAATGAAAAGATGTTAAGACAAGCTTAAAATTAAATTAGGAACTTTATATCTTAAGTAAAAATAATTAGAGACCTTCTTTGATATGCCAACATAGCAGTTAGTCAAAATTTTCATTCGTCGAATATGCATAAAATCACATAAAAGTAAAAAAATACGCAAATCTAACGATTAAAAACACTTGGCCTACCAGTACACAAGAATCTCCTAAATAATTACATCCTCAAGAAAATAATAATTATTATCATTAGTGCTCCTGAACTTTAAAGTCATTTTTAATCTGTCATCGAGCTTTAAAAATTCTCACTTTATTTCTTGAACTTTAAATTGTTCTCACTTAATCTCTTAAATTAGAATTTCTGCTAAATATTGATAAAAAAAGAAAATAATACAGTCATGTGGTAACGAGATGATGAAATTCTCTTTTTTATAAGGAAAATATCAAACTAACGTTATATATTTAGGGGTTTTTTTAAGGCATAAAATTAGGATTTTAGAGAGAGACTATAAATTTATTAACGCTTGTACAACTCCACATATATAATACTTCGTTAATTCTATAATGTCTCGATTTATATTAAGATGCTAATTTAAAAGAAACAAATTAATGTTCACTCTTGCTCCACATAGTGTCATTAATAATAAGGCTATCGACACTAACTAAAATATCAATTTTTATGTATAAATTGATATAACATGTAAGTTGTCACTTTTATATTAGTGAGTGTTTAAAATATTGCAACATCAACTAATGATGTGTCTATCAACAAAAAGATGACAACTCACATTAATTAATACACAAAAATTAAGATTTAAGTACCCTAACATTACACGTGTCACTAATATATAGGAGTTAACAAGATTGGCTTTTGAATTATTAAACTTTCTATTAGGGATCATGAATGACTCTTAAGTTGCTGTAGACTAGAAACCAAATAAGTAGTTGCCCTTAATTAACCAGCAAAAAATATAGAACAAAATTTATAAATTTTCTTAAACTTTGTCACTTGAGTTAACATGATTTTTTAACTTTAAAATGTACATGTTGTGCTATTTGAACTTTGTCACTTGTGTTAACATGCCTCCTGAGGTTAACTCTGTTAAGTTTTTAAACGAATATGCTTATAAACAATTCATGAATTTTGTCACTTGTGTCAATATATTCCATGAACTTTAAAATGTACATGTTTTGCCCTTTGAACTATGATATGTCTCCAACTTTTTTCCCTTAATCATGATTCTATCAGTTTTTTTATTGGAAACGTAATTGTTTGGCCATGCAAACATAAGATACAATTATATTTGCAGAATATTTTAAGTGTAAAGGTAGAAAAAAATTTATTTTTTGTATATCATAACGTTAATAGTCCATAAGGGACCAACTTAGAATATGGCATTTGACATACCAACATTATTACAATTCTTATTATTTATAAAAATTATAGTAAATAGCAGATTTTAAAACTAAAATAAGTAAATAACATATTTTAAAATTATTTAAAGTAAATAGTAATTTACTGTGTAAATGTTTTATTTATAACTGACAAAAAAATTTAAGTAGTAAAACATCTTTATTTACATGAAAAAAAATCTTTTTATCAGTCGCAAAAAGAAAATTTATGTGAGAAAAAAATCTTTTTACTAATTATAAATGAGACATTTACGTGATAAATTACTATTTATTTCAAATAATTTTAAAATCTGTTATTTACTTAATTTATATTCATAAATATGTTATTTATTACATTCTCCCTATTATTTATCATTGTTTATATTTTAAGACTACTCCTTTAACGGAGGATGTAGGAGCTCTTATGAATCTTTGAGGTAAAAAGTTTGGTGAAGTCTGCAGTGACATTGAGCGACGCTTGTAACACCGCAGGCGACAGAGCCGCCATTGTCGATTCGTTGCTAGCTATGTCTTCGAAAACAGGCCTGCAAAATTGAATGAAGAAAGAAAATTTTCAACAAAACTAAGCCTCATGAAGCATGCAAAATATTTTACTGTAATATGTTAAGAGAAATTCCACCAGGGTCGGGATAAGACTTTCCAATTTCCCTTTCGCCTTTTTAATTTTGACATAGACTCAAGTCCTCTATTAAAATGAGGATGATGCGTGAGAATGTGCCTTTGCACTTCTGAAATCTTTGAATCTCCACGGCTAACCAGTGAAAATGTGCCTTTGCACTTCTAAAATCTTCTATAAAAAGAAGAATAAACCGCATATATACCGCCTCAAACGGATTCCTTTAAGCAATTTAGTTACAAAGTTAATATATATATATATATATATAATTGTGCAACCATGTTTGGATTTGGCATTGTTTTTTTAAAAGTTAGCTGCCAGCTTTGGCTCACTAGATCCAAAACGTTGCTATAGTATTTTTTTTTAATGATATTTCAGAAAAGTTTTATCCTTCTAAAATAATTTTGTCAAATTTACCTATCCTATTAAACTTTGAAATGCCAGAATTTTAAAATTTTTTATAAAGTTTATTCTTACATTTTTAGTACTGCTTATTCAATAATTTAAACATCATTTTTATTTATCACTAAACTCTCAAGCATAAATCAAGTAATTAAAATACCTTAAATTAACAAATTTTTCAAGGGGATTTATTTGAACGGGATCCAACATATTCTCAATTTTAAAGGAGATAGAATGGATAGTTTCACTTACTCAGAACTTGTTACGACAGAGAGGCACTCTATCCCTTCTCCCCCAGCCAACAAAGCAACCACAAAGAACCTTGGAACAAGTACCAAATGACCAACTTTCACTTCAGTGTCCAAAACCCTTTCACCATTAATTCCCACAATTTGGATCTTGCCATCTCCTTTCACAACATAAATCATCTGAGTGGTTGAATCAGTGGTGTAAATCGGCGAGCTCATCGAATCCGCTTTAAGCTCAATGTGGTTGGTGCTCAACCCAACTTTCCCTATGAAAGGGAATTTGGTCTCAGTCACTGTAGTCCAAGACCCAATGTTCTTGACTTTGTGATCAGGACAAGCGGCATCTATGTTGTACACCAATTTCTCAGAATCTTGATCAGTTTTCTGGGGTGTCGGAAGTGTTTTTTCTTTCGGAAGTGTGATGATCATAACCCCGTCTTGGCTATTGGCAAGCGTGTGTGCTTCGTCTTTGGTTAGGTCATAAGCCCTGCTGATGAAGTCGTTTGAGAAACCGGCTAGTATTCCTCGGCCACCGGTCTGAAGGAAGTAGGTGAATTCGCCAGGGATGTGAGCGTCGTTTGTCTTGCCCAAGAACAAGATAATGAGCTCGGAATGTCCGTCGTTGAACCACCATGAGAGTCCCCCTAGGGGTACAGGAATGATGTCTCCTTTCCTCAGCTTAACTACCACTTCCTTTTTTTCGTTGGGAAATACCATTCCCACGACTCCACCGTTGCCTGCAATTTTGGACATATATTTATAATGACATAACATTACACGTACTGTATAAGATTTACAAATTTACATGGTAGAAAGTCATTTAACGGTAACAAGTAATTGAGAATTGGTTTGACGGGACATCGATATTGACTTTCGTTATTCGATATAATATTTAACATCGGTCAATAACAAACTTCTTTTAATATTTTTGGCACAATTAGTTACCTTGAAGAACATAACCAATTTTGGCACAATCTGCATAGTGAGGAAGAGCGAATCCGCGAGGCCGCAAAACAAGATGACCGCCGCCAACCTTGCTCTCCGACAGCAAAGGGAACTCCTTGCTCGACCAGCTATAGTATTCTCCACCTTCTCCCTCAAAGATCTTCTCAGCAGACCTTGGTTTCAAGTCCATATCCATTGCTGATATGACTTATAATTATTTCAACTACACAAGGCAGAAAAATGAGCAAACACAGACACAAAATGTACGAAGGTTTGGAGCTAAAACAAAAGACTTATTTGTGAGAAATGAAGAATTGGAAAGGCCTTAATTTATAGAGGTGAAGAGATAAGGTTATCAGTTGAGTAGGAGCTTTGTCTTTTCTGTAATATTATTTTAAAGGGTATATTTGAAATAGAAAATTTTTTAGAGAAGTTTCTAAAAAATAAAACACTAGAAAAAGTCTCTATTTTCAACAATATACTTTACCTTTTTATGTCTCATAGATTTTATTCTAAATAAAATTAAGACATTAACTTTTAGATTAGGCACCATTATGTACGTCTCAAAGTGGGCTTGATGAGAGAGAAGCAACACAGTGCCTCTATGGAGAGAGAGAAAGAGAGAAAAATTTGCATTTTTTCTGTGGAAAAGAATCTGTCCTTATATGATTGAGTGCAACGTAACAAAGCAACACAGTGCCTTTATGGAGAGAGAGAGAGAGAAAGAGAGAAAAATTTGCATTTTTTCTGTGGAAAAGAATCTGTCCTTATATGATTGAGTGCAACGTAACAAAGTCAAATTTCTAAAAACAAAAAACAAAAATAACCAAAAACAAAAAACGCAACAAAATCAAATGCAGTCAATTTCCTCAGTGTCACGGCACTTTTCTGAAAATTGGTTACAATCCCACACAATTAGGGTTCTTACAAACCACCCGTTAAGGCAGGCATTGTAAAAACCCAAAATATCTGGTCGACTTCTCAAATGGTCAGTAGAATTAAGCCAGTTCGACATTAAATATGTACCAAGAGTAGTGATTAAGGGGCAGGCGTTGGCGAACTTCCTGGCTGAATTCTCTCATAGAACAACTCCCGCCACACACGAAGTCGAGACGACGAAGTGGAGGCTCTACGTAGATGGAGCGTCGAGCGAAAACGGGTCAGGAGCCAGCGTCCTATTAATCAGCCCAAAAGGCTACAAAATTACTTCGGCGATACGATTTAAATTCAAGGCGTCGAATAATGAAGCCGAGTATGAGACACTGATTGCAGGACTACGATTGGCAAATCATTTAAAGTCGAGAGGCTCGGCATCTTCAGCGACTCTCAACTGGTCGTTGGACAAGTAAATGAGGAATACCCAGCGTGCGGTGAAAAAATGGGTGCGTACTTAAGAAAGGTAAAGGAAGAGCTCGACAGGTTCAAGAGATATGAAATACTTCAAATACCACGAGCTGACAACACCAACACTGACGCCTTGGCCAAACTAGCATCATCAAGAGATTCTGACATACTAGGAATTGTTCCTATCGAAGAACTGGAGCGGCCAATAATTGAGGAAAAAATCGAGGCCTTGACCATCCAGACGGACGAGGGTTGGATGACGCCACTAATCCAATATCTGACAAATGCAAAGCTGCCAAGTGATAAAGACGAGGCCCGACGAATCAGATATAGAGCTGCCAGGTACCTACTATACGATGGTTTGCTTTACCGACGAGGCTATTCCACGCCTTTGCAGCGATGCCTAAACGATGGCGAAGCCCAGAAGGTCTTCCAGGAAATCCATGAAGGAGTATGCGGTAATCATACTGGGGAGCAGTATTTAGCTCTCAAGGTTTTGAGACAAGGGTATTTTTGGCCTACGCTAAAAAAAGACGCATTCCAATACGCTCGACGCTGCGATAAGTGCCAAAAATATGCCATAATTCCCAGAGCACCCCCAGAAAACCTAACCCTAATTCTCAGCCCATGGCCCTTTACCAAATGGGGAGTCGACCTGATCGGGCCCTTACACCTCACACCAGGAGGCTTTAAGTTTGCCATCGTCGTGGTAGACTACTACACTAAATGGGCAGAGGCAAAGGCTTTAACAACGACCACGGAAGCAGTTTGCACCAACTTCATGTGGAACAATATCGTGTGCAGATTTGGGGTCCCACACTCAATAGTATCTGACAATGGGAGACAATTCAATAATGCCTCAACACGAAGGTTCTGCGACACCTTAGGCATCCAAAAAGACTTCTCAGCGCCAATACATTCACAATCTAATGGTCAAGTCGAGGCTATTAACAAAATATTAAAATATACCTTAAAGAAGAAGCTTGATGATTTAAAAGGGAAATGGGCTGAAGAACTTCCAAAGGTCCTGTGGGCATATAAAACGACAAGCCGAACTACCACGGTTGAAACACCATTCTCCATGGCCTATGGCGTCGAGGCGGTACCCCATAGAAATTGAGACGCCGACTTTACGAACTGTTGTCTACAACGACAATGGAAATACAGAAGCCATGAATAGAGAACTCGACCTATTAAAAGAGAAAAAGCTCAACTCCCAGCTACACCTCGCTGCTTATCAGCAGAGGACAGCACGATATTACAACAAGAAAGTTAAATAAAGAAGGTTCGTTGATTAGTGCATAAAAATACACCCTAAATACTGCTTTCGATTTATATAATATTAAAATATTTAAGCTTTAATTAAACAATTCTATTATTTCTATTCATAATATTTTCAATTGGAATTTGTCTAGTTTTTGCTTAATTATTTACAGATGAAAGCAGTGTAAAAAGCTACACAAGAAGAAGCCATGAAAGCCATATTTTTAAGCCTTTCAGCCGAGCCACACGAGCCAGAGGGAGAGCCGCGTCAGCCGAGCTGAGCCACTGTCTTTCCCTCCGCGTGGGCCCCAGCCCTTCCTCACTTCCCGAATCTTCCTCCCGCGCGTCACCAGCACGCCTTCTCTCAGCGCGCGCGTTTCTTCCACGCCTGCGCGTCTCAACTTTCTCCCTTACTACATCATTCTTAATTTAAAATACACTTATCAATTTAAAATACAGCAAGCTAGGCTAGAGAACTCTAGCCTAGATGACAAACTTTCATGTCTTAATTTAAAATACAGCAAAAATGACATAATAATTATCATGATGAGATCATATTTTATTTTATATAATGATATAGTCATTATTTTAAGGGAGAAAGAGGGAAATAGGCCAAGACTTGAGATGAATTAAAATTAATAGGCCAATAATTTACGTAAGTTAATAAATAGACTAAATTATTATTTTCGTCCATAACTTGTCCGGTTATGAACCATAACTTGACAAGTTATTGTCCATAACTTATCTAGTTATGAACCATAACTTGATAAGTTTGTCCATAACTTATCTGGTTATGAACCATAACTTGACAAGTTATGGCCTATTAATTTTTATAACTAAAAAATGACCTATATACTTTCTTAAGCTTTTCATATTGGCCTATTTACTACTATTTATCTTATTTTAATGACATAAAAAAGATATAAATTTTGCTATTCTTATAATATTTCAAAATTTTTGTTGAATTTAAATTTTGATTTCAAAATGTTGTTACATGTGTAAATCACCCCGTAATCTGGCATGGCCTACCAGTGGATGAAGTCTAAACACTGTCGCTCCAAAACCACTGGCCCATATAACGAAAAGAAAAACTGTCCTCCAAGAAGAAGCTAAAAATGAAGAAAAATTCTATGCGTAGTATGAGTTTCTTTGAAGAAAAATAACTGCCGCGACGTTCATTTTTGTGCAGTGAAAATTATCCTTGATAAAATGACCGCGTTTGATTTTGAATTTATAATAGAAATAGTGACGCTTTAATACTTGATTAGGAAACTAAGGAAAAGTAAGAAAAACAACGGTCTTAATGAATTGTGTCATTTTGATTGTTTATGATTTTCCTCCTCCTCCGTCAGAGCGCTTTCCCTGGAAGGAACTGCCATTTCCCCAACTCGAGTTTTGGACAAAGAAAGAGATCAAGAATCAAGCGAGTAGCAAATTGTTCGAAACAAACCATAGATTTTCATTTTCACCTTCCAACAATTTGCTGAACCAAAAGCCTGATTGTTGGTGTAACCAGAATTTGTGTGTACTAGTAAATATGTACGAGTTCCATGGGCAAAGAATAAAAAGAAGAATAGTCAAAAGATGAAAGAGCATAGAAGGAATCAGGGATGGGTTAGCTTAGTGCTAGTTGATCAATCTGAATTTTGAATAATACTTTCCTTTCCCTGTGATTTAGGTAAGGAACTTTTTTTTTGTAAAAAAAAGAAAAGAAAATTAGTGGACATTTGGTTTATGAATTTAAAATTATTCTCGATTTACGTGTATTTTTTGTGAGAAAAAAATACTGTAACGAGCCACAAACCATGATCCGAACCATGACACGAATCCACCAACTAAATGTCACCTTAGTATTCGTCGCTTATTTATACTTTAGCGACAAAACTATTTTTGTTTTTATGTCTACTTGTCAGAATACGCATAAAATTATAAAAATGGTTGGAGAAAAAAAACAAAAATAAAAGAAGAAAGAAAAAAGATAAAGACAAAAATAAAAAAGAAACAAAGGCGAAAGACAACAAAAAAAAAAAAGAAAAAAAAACCGTTTGAAACGTTGAGTTACAAATTTTAATTAGGCTAAATAGGTCAGACTGAAACCTGTTATTGTTAGTCTAAATATCATATTTTTAAAGAGTTTTTAAAAAATATTTTATAAAATTCTGACTTAGATCGCGTCGGTCTTAATTTTTTTGAATTTAAAGCTAAATTAGCCCAACCTTTTTTCTTTCATGATCGGTCTAAAATTTTTCTTTAAGCAGACCGGACCCGACCGTCTAAACTTAAGCCTCTATAATATCTACAGCACAAACACACTCTACTTTACATATATAGTATAGATCCACGCGACGCGACATCTCTTTTGTATAGAGATGAAAATTTCCTAACGTGTGTGTTTTCCTCATCTATACAATAGACCAAGGGTTCGTTTGGTTGGAGGATTCAAACCATGTGATTCGAACCATTTTTGATTTACGTGTATTTTTTGTGAGAAAAAATACTGTAGCGAACCACGAATCATGATTCGAATCAGGGAACGAATCCCTCTACCAAACGCCCCCGAAATTAGTTGTTGCTGTTGTTGTCAGTTGTCATAGCGTCTCAATTCTCAGCTAATCTTCAATCAAGCTTTGAAAACAGCTTTTAGTCTGCCACCCTAATAATATTAGAGATAAGGACA